CCCTGTCTCTTATACACATCTAGATGTGTATAAGAGACAGCTCGTGAACTGCCCCGTCGCCACCTTCGTCGATATGGAGCCCTTGCACCCCCCTCGTTGTTGTGTCTGTTCCAGCTTGACGCAAGGCTTGCCTGCACTCTGCCCACAGCTGCCTGCCGTGCCGTTCTACATGCGCACCCGCCACGGACGCGTCCTCTTGTCGCTGTCGTCCATCCGGAGTCTCGGATGCAGTTCGTGATGCAGACGATGATCACATCCATTCCGGACGTTTATCCCGCCGCCTCCTCCTCTGCCCTGCGTCGAGGACACATAACGATTCCCGCCACCCTCGCGAAGCGTTTGAGGTAGTCCGCCGTCTCGCGACCCACAGGGACCAACCCATGTCTGCTCCGCGCAATCCCCATCTGGGTGGGGATTGATGATGCAAGTATGTGTCACTGCTGCTCCGCTGGTGCTCGACAACTGGAAGCTCGGATCGACTGGTGCATTGCCATTGCGTCTCACAGCCCCTCGTTGAGCATTGACGTGTAAGACCACGGTGTCCCCGCCTGCCTGCCACGGTTACCGTACGACTACATCGACGCCCAATCGTGGTGGAACCACTTCCCAACGACACAACCGATGACCTCACGTCTTCCCGCTCGTCATCCGTCAGCGGCAGAGGAATCTCATGCGAAGGCAGGTGAGCATACAGCGTGGGGTCGTACACTTGCTTTCCCACATACCCCGCAGTGCATTGCCGATTGCTCGCTCCTGTTGTCGTGCCAGCTGGTCTGTCCTTGGTCATTCGTCGATCCATCTTGTCGCCGTTCTTGGAAGACCTCCTTTTGCGAGCCACGACAGGGAGCCGGTTGACGAAACACACGTGGTAGAAGACAATGATGACAAGCAACATGACGGTGAGGAGTACTAGAGGCAGCCTGTGCAGCAGGTTGGCCATGTAAAGGCCATGAAAAGGGCAACAACTCCAGGTTCGTGGTCGACCGTCTACCGAACAATGTCGTCGAGGAAAAAAAAAAAGTGAGGGAAGATCTGTGATTGGACGTGCATGGCGTGACAACAACCAACGAAAACGACGATCTTGCAAAAAACACTTTCGTCGTCGAAGAAAGCGACGACGCGGAAAAGCATTCGAATTTTCGACTGTTGTGGACGATCTTCCAGCGCAGCAGACAGCATGACACCGCCCAACAATGGCCAATTGGTCGGACGGAGGCCTTACGGGGACGGTGACCATTTGGAGCTGTTGGGGTGCCACCCCAACGGTGGACGGCAGGGATGTTCGTGCTCTCGTTGGGCGGACCACGTCTGAACCACCCTCAAACCAAAATTGTGCGTCAATGCATGCCTTCGCCGCTCCGAATATCACGCTTCCTTGTGCTCCGAGGGACCTCGGGAGGTCCCTTGGGGATTAGGAGAAATTGGCTGGAGCCACAAGGAAATTGGTGTTCCCCGGCCCGCAATATCAATCAACTTCGGAGTGCTGATTGCCCCATGGGAGGGAGGTGGGTTGGTTAGGATTAGTTTGGAGGCAGTCAATCCTTCCCTTGCACAGGGAACAAATCAATGCCCCTGCTCTCTTCGGACAATGGGTATAGGGACAGTCCCACATGTTTTTGCACAATGGAAGCTGCACTTGCTGTCTAGATCACACAGATTACATCATTGGTAAAGTTCACACACATCATCCCTTTCTTAGGGTTTGGGGTTATTGCATAAGGGATGCTGGACTTGTCGTCCACATCACACATATTACATCCCCTACCAAGCTGTGATGTATGTATGATGTATATGGTGTATGTGATGTATGTGTTCTCTATCTATCAACATCTAAACACGAGACCCTAACAATGATGTGATGTGAATGATCATTTATGAATCAAGACTAAGCACGAATCCGTATCAGTGATGTAATATGTGTGATGTGGACGACAAGTCCAACATCCTTTATGCAATAACCCGAAACCCTAAGAAAGGGATGATGTGTGTGAACTTGATCAATGATGTAATCTGTGTGATCTAGACGACATGTGCAACTTCCATTATGCAAAAACATACAAGACTATCCCTATACCCATTGTCCGAAGACAGCAGGGGCACCCCCATGGGAGGGAGGTGGGCTGGTTAGGGATTAGTTTGTAGGCGGTCAATCCTTCCCTTGCGCAGGGAAGTAATCAATGCCCCTGCTATCGTGTTTAGATGTTGATAGATAGAGAACACATACATCACATACACCATATACATCATACATACATCACAGCTTGTTAAACGACCATTTCGTCAAAATGGACATTTTTAATTTTTTGAACGAAATTGAAACTGAGTTTTTTAGCCGAAAACTCGTCAAAATTTGTTGTTCCTGAGGGTCCAGCATTTTACAAACGCTGGACCCCCTGGCTGTACATGGACCTAGCTTGAGACCAGGCACCTCCAGGCAGGACTGCCTGGAGGTGCCTGGTCTCAAACTAGGTCCATGTATAGCCAGGGGGTTGTAAAACGCTGGACCCTCAGGAACAACAAATTTTGACGAGTTTTTAGCTAAAAAACTCAGTTTCAATTTCGTTCAAAAAATAAACGATGTCCATTTTGACGAAATGGCAGTTGTTAGGGTTTTCAAGATTGTTGTATATATACACAGATGAGATTGGATGACGGCGAAAACAATTGCGGCGACAGCACCAACAATACTAAGGACAACAACAACAACAACAACAATAACATCAATAACATCGGGATCAATGACGCCAACAACAACAACAACAATGAAGATGATGGTGGTGGCAACGACCATGGCAACAGTAACAACAACATTAATAATAGCAACGACGACAATACCAAGGATAACAACAACATAAATAACATCGGCGTCAATGATACCAACAACAATAAGGGCAACGGCGACAATAACAATGACAATGGCACAGTGAAGATGAAGGAAGTAATGACGACCATGGCAATAGCAACAACAACAATAACAACAACGTCCACGGTGGCAGCAGGGTTGAAAGCGGTGCCCAGGCATCTCAGGTCATCATAGCCACGATGGGAGTGTGCCGCAAGCGGACGTGGTGGGGATTGGGGATGACAACAACAACAATAAAGATGATGGCGGAAGCGGCGATGACGGCGGTAGTGACGACCACGGCAACAGCGGGGCAGAGCGCATCAGCATGATGGGAGAGAAGACACATGATGACGTGGTGGGGAGTGGGGTTGACACAGATAGGAGGCTTACCAAATCCCCCCCCTTCCCCCCCTTCATCCTCGTTGTCTGGCTCAGGATTGGAGTAGGATAGTCGATGTTGATTGGTGTTGCCCGGCCCACAATTGCAATCAACTTCGGAGTTCTGATTGCCCCGTGGGAGGGAGGTGGGCTGGTTAGGGATTAGTTTGCAGGTGGTCAATCCTTCCCTTGCGCAGGGAAGTAATGAATGCCCCTGCTCTCTTTGGACGATGGGTATAGGGACAGTCCCACATGTTTTTGCATAATGGAAGCTGCACTTGCCGTCTAGATCACACAGATTACATCATTGATAAAGTTCACACACATCATCCCTTTCTTAGGGTTTGGGGTTATTGCATAAAGGATGCTGGACTTGTCGTCCACATCACACATATTACATCACTGATACAGATTCGTGCTTAGTCCTGATTCATAAATGATCATTCACATCACATGCGCTGGACCCGGTTTCCAGCAGGTGATGCTCCCCACTAATAGACGGAGCCTGTCCCCGGGTGCTAGCGATGTCTGCTCTTATCAGCACTGCTAGCACAGCAGGGGATGGTTTAAAAAAAAGAAAAAAAAAAAAGAAAAAGGTAGGGTTTTGTGTTTAGATGTTGATAGATAGAGAACACATACATCACATACACCATATACATCATACATACATCACAGCTTGTTAGGGTTTTCAGGATTGCTGTATATGTACACAGATCAGATGGATAGGGTTTCTCATCTTCTGACATGTATCGCTTGACGTGCATACATTGGTAGATGGAGCTGTCAATTCATCTCTGCACAGGGAGGCTGGGCCCGATTTCCAGCAGATACACTCACATCATTGTACAGGGATGCTGGACCCGTTTTCCAGAAGATACATTTTCATCATTGTACAGGGACGCTGGACCCGATTTCCAGCAGGCGTAGCTCCCCACCAATAGATGGAGTCTTGGACGCCGGGACCTACTTACTGGGGATGCTCTTACCACCTCATTAAGTAGGTTTCCTGTATATGAAGTTTCTTTAATAAAAAAAAGAAAAAAGAAAAAAAGGAAATTTCCTTGTGCTGTTTTCACTTTTTTTTCCCGCAAATCGTCCCTGAGGATAGCTGGAACGAGCACATCCTTGTGGATTTCGGGTCCCCAAGGAGTGTCTAACGACGCCCTTAGAGTTGAGGATTAACATTTGAGGTATTGAATACATGAAAATTTACTAGCAATATAAGCCATAGCTGCCATACATGCAAGCGGACGTTGTATGGAAAATTCCGCACGTTTGGCGCACGAGTGTATCTGCACTGTGCGGCCGTTGAGGCTCCCGGCATGTGAGGCGCACAGGGGAAATATTCTCTCTCAAAAAAAGAGGGGTCGCATGGCTGGGTCAATGGTCACCTGCATCCCCTTTAAAGATTTGTTGTGGGATGGGAAAAAAAAATAAAAAAATAGTGGGAGGGTAATGCCGCTACCTAAGGGTCCAGGCTGATGCCCCAGACACCTTTTTGAGGCTATTTCTCATGCCCGATTGGATTGGGAGAAGAATCTGTACGACTGTACTTGAAAACGATCAGTTCCTTAGGTGCTGCACTCTTCTGTATCTAGAAAAACAGCAAAAAAGAAAAACAAAAAAGGGAAACTGCTGCTGGTATGGCGCACGAGCAGGTGCTGCGCCGTACGCCGTGCAGCGCACCACACAGTGCGGTTGCAAGTATGATATAACTTCATCATATAACTGCTGACTCATTGATCATGACAAGTAAAAATCAGTAACTGCATAGGGGAAGGAAGATTGAGATTTATCCGTTGGAAGACAAAGGGATCAGTCTTATTGAGGAGTTTTGACGAAAAACTCCTATTCACCAGCGACTAAATCCAGATAGGAAATAGGGAAAATGATATGAAGAACTAAGCACCATCCTTCTGAAATGTTATAGTGAGGAGACCGCACGCAAAACCCTACCAATGTTATTAAACACGCTCCCCCCGTCCGTCGGACTTCGTTCATCAGCCAAAAGGCAGCCCGGCCACCTCGTGGTTGTCCATAGTGCTCAACCATCCGCTCATAACGACCGAGTGATGAAGACTGTCGGACCGTAGCACAAATCACCGTCGCCAGCGATCCGAGCCACATCGTGAGACAGAACTGCTGAGCCCACCAGCAGCCTCTAGCAGCCAGTTCCCTCTGTCGGATCTCGCCTCCTCCTTCATCAGCCAAAAGGCAACCCGGCCACCTCGTGGTTGGCCAGAGTGCTCAACCATCCTGCTCATGATGACCGAGTGATGAAGACTGTCGGACAGTACTAGCGCACATCACCGTCACCAGCGATCAGAGCCACGTTCGCGAGACAGAACTGCTGAGCCCGCCAGCAGACGCTCACAGGCAGTTCAAGGGAAGGGGAGAGCGTGAACGCCAATTGTTCAAACCCCAACCCCAACCGGAGCATGCGAAGCCACCGCGAATAATCATCCTCCAGCTTCAAATCGCCATTTCTATTCCTCATAGCTCCTCGCCATGGCCAAAGTCGAACTCCTCTGTAGCTCCGCTTCTCCATACCCTGCTTCCACCATACATGCTGCAAAGAAACAACTATGTCCCACATCGCCCCCCCTCTCGATTCCAGTCTCCCGCAAGGCACCGTGCCCCACCAGCGCTTTCCCACCAACCACGTAAACCCCAACCTGACAGCGCCAGCCGAACGCTGGCGGTGCGACGCTCCTGGTAGCTCCATGCGGGCGGTCCCTCCTTTTAGATTTTGTATGGTAGCTCCATGCGGGCGGTCCCTCCTTTTAGATTTTGTACTATGTGTCATTGCCCCATGCGCAAATATATAGGTATATATTTGACGATATATATATATATATATATATATATATATATAGCCTCCTGATGAGTCGGTGAAACTCCGACGAAACAGTTTGTCACAGCCCCTCATTTGTTGTCCTCTTCTCCCTCTCTGCCTACGGTTTACCGGGCAGTTCTATTTGACGATATATATATATATATATATATATATATATATATATATATATATTTCCAGAAATACATGGGGGGCTTCTTGACTCTGCCAGCATGGGGGAGAGGATATAGCTGCTGGGGTTCCTCTGAAAGCTGCGAAGACCACCCTCAGGCTGGTGGAGAAGGCCACATCTCGTCAGATTAGACAGAAGATTGAACTACCGGTTGTGAAGTCCCAGTTGGCCGAATCCTTGTTATTTTTCATAACTGGGGTGAGAAATTATAGAGAAAACAGAGAATCCGGAGAAGCGGACTTGGGGCCCAGGAGCACGGTCCCACTAGCAGCAGGATAGGATAGAAAAGAGTTTGTGTGGCAGTTGAGCGACCCAAATCCTGCCCTGCAGTACTCGTGATGCCCTGCAGTACTCGTGATCCCGCGGTCAGTACTTTACATGTATTACCTGAAAAAGTAAGGAGATCTTTGTTCCCCTCCTCCTCTCCTTAACACTGGGCATGCCCATGCAAAGAAAGCTTCCTGCCAGAATCTTTTCAATCGGTTAGGGATGTGGCCGACCCCAAAAGAGGTTGGGGTCGGCCTTAAGCTCACTGGATATAAGATTTTCAGTATTTTACTTGCTGTTGTGCAATTATCTCATTGGGTGGAGCCCTCCTTCAATCACGGAGTCTATGGAGGGCGTCAGGATCACTGCTGACAGAAGTAGAGTTTATTCCAGAAAATGTGGGGGTTACTTTGTTCACTGTTGTTGCAACCACCACCATCAGATCATTTGTTATCTGATGGCTGGGAAGGACTCTGCCGTGATTTCGGGTGCACTGCAAGGTCTCTGTTTCTTTTTGTTTTTTGCCTCTCCTGTTTTCTCAGGCCAGAAATTGGTAATGAACCTGTCAGGCCGCTGCCACTCAGTGTCACACTGTATCCGCCACACTCCTACCCGACTGCTAATGGGACCATGCTCCAGGAGAGAGATCTCACTAGCCAGGTATGTGGATTAGTGTGACGGGTGTTGGACGGGTGGGGGACAGGTGGGGGACAGGTGGGTGGCAGTGTGAAATAAGGAAAATAAACGCAAAAAAACATTTCATGACCAAACAAATGAAGAAACAACTGCTAAAAAAGAAAAGAAAGTGCTCTTCTCACAGATGGTGTCTGCTCCAGGCGGGGTGTCAGATGTCAGGGTATGATCCACTGACCATGGCTGTGGCAGTCAAGACGACTGCATGTGAGTGGGCACACGGACCATATTCATTGACAATAGTCTGAGGCTTGATTTTTATTTTTTTATTTTTTTTGTGGTCCGATGGACCACAGATCAGATATTGAACTGATCAGAACAGATACTACACTTGATCTTAGCCAAAAGGCCGAGAAAGGTATAGTCTGAGGCTTGCTTGAAATAGGCCGCAGTGCACCCTGTTTCGTTTGTTCTGACAGAAATTCTCTTTGGCAAAGGAGGGCAAGAGTAACTCCATACACCATCCGCTGTAAGTGAGAGGATAGAACCCTTCCAAACACCTCCCAAACCACAATCAATTTCCAGCAATGAAGCCATTCTTCTTTGCCTTAACCGTGCGTGAGTTCATGAACCAAAAAAATTGGTCTCGACTTCACGCACGTTTGGGACCGCCACAGGACCCTTACAGCAAAAGCGAAAGAAAAACCTACCAATGGGAGAGCCAAAAAAAACATCCTTTTCCCAGGCTTAATTCACAAAAACAGGCTACCGCTGATTTCCTGCCAAATCCACGATGCCTGACAGTCACACAATTCAAACACTAATCCACATACATCGGTAGTGGGATCTTGCTCCAGGTCACACGGAATTTGATTGAAATATGCATTTAATTTGGTGCAAATACTTTTTTTATGGGCCAAAGCCGCCAAACGTTTTTTTTTTCCTTCTTTTTGAAATAACGGCGGACACGGCATGTTTTGAAAGTTCAAACCCAAGGCAAAAAAAACTTGTGCCGGCAGAGAGAGAGAGAGAGAGTGGACTGACAAAGTGGGGGATTAGCATTTGCGTTTAGTTTTTTCTCCTTTTTTCGTCTTTTTCTTTTAGACTTGAGCCTTGATGATTGCTTAGGTAATAGAGCTTTGAAAATTGTGTAGATATTTTGTTAAATTCGTTAATTAGGGTTCGGTGTTTATTGTCTGGAGAATTGTTGGAGTTCTGAGTGCCGTGGAGTCCTTTTGTTAATACCGGTTAGGTGTATGAGGTATATGAGATATGTCAATCACCAAAGTTGATAACACACACACAGGTTATCACAATACACGGATTGAAGACGAGATAGTACAAGCTCGGTCAATCAGTCGTTCCACAACCCCGGTGGTTCAAAGTTCAAACCACCCACAGTCTTACCGGGCATAAGCCACGGAAGTCCGTGGACAGAAAGAGGACAATCAAGACTTCAACCGTCGCTTATGTACCCGCGGATCCGGTTCCCTGCTAATGGGCAGAGAAAAAAGACCTGCCACAGGTCACGTCAGCCAAACCCACTACAATCCAAAGGGGTCACTACAGCCTGGTCTGAAAAAGGCTCATAGTACGCGACTCATTGAGCCAATACCCAAATCAAAGGACCGCATAGCCCGGGCTCTCAGGGCCTATGCTTGCCAACCAGTCAAAGAAATACTACAAAAGCATCGCAAAGAAATCCAATAAAGAAAAAAGAAAAATCACAGCAAAGGGAAAAAAACAGAAAACCCTGTCACTACGACCGTCAAAGTTCGATCAGTTCAAGAGCCAACTTCCACTCAGTACCGCGGCCGTGAGCAGATCGTTTCAGCACTGGAAGAAAGAAATCGGTCGGGACATCTTTCAAATGTGATTCCCGCTTCAGGCTAATGACTCGTCGAGGTATTTCGTGCTTACAGATGTATTCCGATCGATTCGACGTAGATGACTGGCCAGCATGGTGCTTTTCTGCATCTAACTTCCCCAAGAATGGAACGACTGTCTGTTGAAGAAGATGAACCGTTCATCATTCCACATCAAATCTTCGTTCTTGGACACCTGCACACATTCGACAAAAGGGAACACGTTTCAAGTTCGCACTTCCCAGCCCAGGAAGTTCCAAATTCCTGATCCATCGTCAATTCTCTTCAGACTGAGATTTTTTGGATAACAGTCCTCGAATGTGGCAAAGATATCGGCAACTTCCTGTGTGTTCATCTTCCCAGTGGCAATGAACAGGCTCACGTCGTCAATTAATCTCACACCAAAGACATTCCTGCTTACTTTCCCCAGACTCTTCAAAAACAGGAATTCGGCTCAGGCGCACATAATACAAGCGAGAGAGGGACTCGTACTCTTACCCATCGGGATCCCCACTTTCTGTTGTAGTAGCACCCCCAAGGCTATCGTGTACGTGTGTTTGAGCTCAAAAGAGACAAATTGGCGAATGTCTGCGAATTCCACCCTTCTCCAATTATCGTAACCGGTCATGATCCCGAATCTAGCCCCCTTTCCTCTGGAATTAACTCGAACGAAGGTCCTGTTCCTAGACGTATGATAGTCCAGAAGCCAGTCCACCGCATCAAGGATCTCCTGATGCGGCAAACGGCTGAGCATATCTTTGATATCAAAGGATCTCGCAACAACCCCCGGGTAGTTATGCGTGCGTCTCAACTTTTTGTAGTATCTCATGAAGGTCACATTTAGTTCCGAGACAGCTTTAAGATTGAAGTGCCAGTCGCGAGGGAGGTGGTACAGCAGATGATTAAGGGCCTTGGCAACTATCTTACTCGTCCTGGTTGTTGGTTCCGGATATGACGGACATATCTGATGAAATTGATCCAAGTCCTTATGCTTTGGCATGGCATAAGCTTGGCCGATGGTGCCCTTGCTATCCCATCGTGCAAACTTGAGTAACCCTCCCGGGCCTCCCTCCCGGGCCTCCCTCCCGGGCCTCCCTCCCGGGCCTCCCTCCTTCAGATCAGCCTTCATCATCTCAACAACGGCCCTCGCACAGCTCTCGACAGGTAAGTACCCAGCGCTCCTAATGAACAGGTCCATCATAACCTCATAGTACAAGCTTAGGAAGGACACATGACCAGGGTCTCCCTTGGGTTACGGTCCAGTGGAGTGAGAACGAGTCCTCTCAACTGGTTCTTCAACTCCAAAACTTCATTCCTATCCAGGAAACCCTTCTCCTTTACTCACTCACCCATCAAACAACAAACCAACTCATTACTTGAACAGTGTACAGTCTGGTCTTTGATGTTGATCCATTTCGCAAAAGCTTCAACGATTTCTTCTCCCAATTTCTTTGCTATGTCCGGTCGACAAGCTTTCGGAACGTTGCTCGCATTCATCAGTAGGGGTGATACATTATCCAACTCACGTAAACAGATGCGTGCGTGGCCTCGTACCCGTGGGTACGGCATCCCTGCACATGCACAGGGTAACACATCCATTTGTGCAAAAGCACGACAATTGTGTAACAGGCTTGTGATATTCGGATTCCGAATCCAAATAATGCGAAGCGATCTACGGGTGCGCCGAACAACGCAAGGAGGAAGTACAAGGTCCTCCAACTTATCGTTGACCAATTTATGTACTTCAACGATCTTAATACAGTCATCAAATAGCAAACGAACCACGATCCGAGCTGAAAAGTTAAAACCAAACCCCTCTTTCACACATCTCCCAATCAAGCGCCTAAGGTAAGCATGTGTGCTCTTTTTCT